ATCATTAGACCTACTCATACGATTATGGGAGAAAGTTAACAATCACTCCTACCTCCTTGTATGAGGCCTAGGAGGATCAGAGCCCTTATTCAGGATCTACTTACTATGACTAAAAGCGGGTCTATTTCTTGCTCTTGGTGAAGAAGATAACTGGAATAGCGACCATCTGGTTGTGTGAGTTGCTTCACTTCAACGCTAGCAAAGTTAGCAGACTGTTTGAGTGACTGACCTTCTCGCAGTCTGGACACCGATATTCAGTGTGCAGTATCCGGGGGCATCTATGCTGGGCCAGGGCGAAGGCGTCTTCGAATAGTCGGTCGCAGAGACGACAAACATAGTCGCCGATGTGGTTCTCAATTCGGGCGAGTCGAGCTCTCGCCTCTTGAGTGATCTCGAAGTGACTCGAGATGGAGGCGGAGGCAATCGAGGCAGCCGGCGGTGAGGTGGGCTTGTCTTTGAGGGCTCGAACCATCGACTCGGTCGTCGAATGCTGAGGCGTTGGGGCCTCGAAATGGCGGTCAGAGGTCGGCCTAGCGGCCCTCCGGCTCTTATTCACGGCCTCCTCGTCCCTCTCCTTCGTCTCACCGGCCTCATCTTCACTCGCCTTGCAGCCCTCCTGTGACAGACAGCCCATCAGACCCGGTCTCGATAGCAACGGAGGCAATGTTGTGTCGAGACCAGCTTCGCGTCGGTTGACACTGTCCATGCTCTCGTCTCGAAACCGCCTCTTCCCCGACGGCCTCATGGGGCCCGGCGTCCCCACTGCCCACTTGGATAGGTGGGATGACGCCATCAGGGCGGCGGTTCCACCGTCCGAGATGCGAGCCCTCTTCCAGCCTCCGCTGGGCTGTACCTCGAGACAGTCGGTCGGCTCTTGGCACAAAACCGCCAACCGTGTGGAGGTGAGCAGAGTCTCCGTTGGCAACCGGACTGATGAATAGTTCGGTGTTGGCGACGAAGAAGAGGCTGAGGAGGAAGCGGAAGCGGGTGGTGCAGTCGATAGGGCCGCCAGACAGAGGGCAGAGTGCAGGAGAGAGATGGCCGTGTGCAAATCGGCTCCGCGACTCGTCAGAGATAGATCGTCTCCTGGGCACTGGCGCTGAGGCGGAAGCGGGGCGACGGTTTCCGGCAGCCTCGTCCCTTCGGTCAGCACTGCCCGCCTGACCGGACTCGAGCTCAGGCAGGCGGGAGTGACGACGCCGTCGGCAGAGGGCAGAAGACCGCCGGGCTGGCCGATGGCCTGGTACACTTGTGTCAGGAGGGCGGCCAGACCCGGTCGCCCGGCAGCGGACTGCGCTCGACCCGAGGACGTCAAAGCCTCGTGGCCGGCGATTCGAGACCCGCCGCCGGCGGCACTGGCGGCTTGCCAACCGTCGTCGGGACGAGTCGAGATGGCGGCCGGAGGGTCTTCTTCACGTCGCAGCGTCGGACCGAACGCGAGCGTCGACCAGGCGAGGTACTTCGAGTCGGCGGACTCGGAGCCGCCCGGGCGGAGGGTGTAGGGCGCAGGCTCCTTGAGTCGAGCCAAGCCCGCGACTGGCGAGTGCAGCTGGTTCACGGACTTGGCCCATCCGGCCGAGAGCCCCGGAGGCGGAGGCAGCAGGCCCAGGCCTGGCAGGAGGCAGGCGAGCGGACTCGAGGGGACCGGGCCCCTGCAGGCCTCCATCACGACGGACTAGACGCGCCAGGCGACACGAACAAGCCCCTCCAGCCAGACCGCAGGTCGTAAGAAAGTAGGGCAGAGCACGCGGCCCTTTGCCGTACGAAAGCCCTCCAGAACGGCGGAGCCCAGCAGTCAGCGGCAGCGCGGTTTCTGGTCGCCGGTCACGAGCCCGAGTCCGGCCGAGCGGGTAGACAG